ATAATCTGAACAAGAGATTATTAAAATAAACATTTCAAAATAATCCGACCAATTGAATAATTAGTACTAATTGTTGTGAATGATTTAGCACTTAATCTGCTATTTCTATTTTTTGCATTAGATATGTATGAATTCTACAGAGCGATACGTACATATACACAAATATAAATAGAGACAGTAAATTTATCATCTCCTATTATTTACAGAGCCTACACAATAATAAAAAGAGATTACAAATAAAATGACCTGAGGAAGCTTCCGTCACATGCAGTTTTGTCACTCAGGGAATTGAATAACCATGCATGGGATCAGCCGCCTCAATAGTGAATGCTCATTAAAAAAAAAAAATTAAAAGCAGAGAAAAGCTATATTCAAACGCGCCTCCGCCACTGCTTAATTAATTACGTTCATTTATATACATACATGAACACACACATATATATACTCATATTAAAGAGGGCGAGAGAGTTACGCAAAGATTTTGTGTGTGTGTATTCACTTTTCAAATATAGAAGATAAAAAATTAGGTTCGTGGCTATGAACCATTATAAATAGGAGCCAAAGGGACCAGAGCATATCAACAAGACCATTACCAAGTTCTGCAAAGTGTACTGAAGCCCCATGGACTCCACAGATTTCTTCTCCTTCATTTCACCATCTTGGTCTTATGCCATGATCTTCATAATTGCTCTCTTCAGACTCATCAAAACCCTCAAATACCCTCGCTCTACCCCTGCATTGCTCCGCAAACACAGACTCCCTCCAGGTCCCCAACCATGGCCCATTATTGGTAATTTACCAGAACTGCTTTCAAGCAAGTCTGCGTCCAAATGGATACACCAGCTTATGAGAAACTTAAACACTGAGATTGCATGTATCAAGCTGGGAAATGTCCATGTGATTCCAGTGATCGACCCTACTATAGCCTGCGAGTTCTTGAAGAAACAAGACGATATTTTCGCTTCAAGGCCTATCAGCATGTCCACTCATCTCCTCTCACGTGGCTATTTAACTGCAGCCATCGTGCCATATGGAGATCAATGGAAGAAGATGAAGAAGATGATAGTGAAGGACTTGCTTTCTCCAGCCAGGCATAGGTGGCTTCATGACAAGAGAATGGAGGAGGCTGATAACCTCGTGCGCTACGTTTACGCGAGTCAGAATAACAATGAAGGAGGCCTTGTGAATGTGAGGATTGCTGCTCAGCATTTCTGCGGGAATGTCATCAGGAAAATAATCTTCAATCAAAGGTAACTTAGTGTAAATAATAATAATAATAACTCAATAATATTAAATGACTTCAATCTAGTAGACTATTGCTTCATGAGACCTGTAGCATGGTTGAAAAATAAAAGAGGTAGTTTTTAAAAACTATAATGCAACATGCATTCCTTTAATAATTTGTTTTATATTTCTGTAACAGGTATTTCGGAGAGGGTGGCCAGGATGGAGGGCCAGGGTTGGAGGAAATAGAGCATGTGGGTGCACTCTTCGTAATGCTCAAATACTTATATGCCTTCTGCGTTTCTGACTTTGTGCCATGCTTGAGGGGACTCGACTTGGATGGGCACAAGAGAGTGTTGAAGAATGCCGTGAGGATAGTGAACAAGTATCATGATCCCATCATCGAAGCAAGAATCAAACAGTGGAAGGAGGGCGCCAAGACAGAATCTGAGGACCTGCTTGACGTTATGATTTCTCTCAAGGACGCTCACAATAACCCTCTATTGTCCATGCAGGAAATCAAAGCGCAAATTCCAGTTAATGCTCTTGTCCACTTCATATGTACTTCAATTTTTTAATGCTTTTGAAGAAGGAGAAATTTATGGAACTCGATTAAAGCAATAACAAAAACGAATCGGAACTTTATTTATTTTGCAGGAACTTATGTTTGCAACAGTGGACAATCCATCGAACGCCGTAGAATGGGCACTCGCAGAGATGATGAACCAGCCACAACTTCTTCGAAAAGCCACTGAGGAATTGGACCGAGTAGTGGGTAAGGACAGGCTTGTTCAAGAATCAGACATACCAAAACTCAACTACATCAAAGCCTGCCTAAGAGAAGCCTTTCGCCTTCATCCTATTGCTGCATTCAACGTCCCTCATGTGCCTATGCGTGACACGGTGGTTTCCAACTACTTCATCCCAAAAGGCAGCCACGTGATACTGAGCAGACAGGAGCTAGGGCGAAACCCCAAGGTTTGGGAGGATCCTCTTAAGTTCAAACCAGAACGACACCTCACGAACGATGGTTCAGAAGTGTTCTTGTCAGAAACGGATTTGCGGTTCATAACCTTCACTACGGGCAAACGTGGGTGTCCAGGAATGGTGCTTGGGACCACTCTCTCTGTGATGTTGCTTGCTAGGTTGATCCATGGATTCACTTGGAGTGCTCCACCTCACCAACCAGTTGAACTGGTTCAGTCCGAGACAGACCCCTTCATCGCTCAGCCACTGGTGGTCGTTGCAAAACCAAGGTTGCCTAATGAGGTTTACGTCTTGGGTTAATTTAGCCAAGCTAATATAATATTAATACATAAGCCAATCAAATAATCAGAAGAATAATATTTTAGGTATCTTCTTATGTGTTCCTGGTGACATAATGATAAGAATATTTATGTATTTGATTCCAATCCTTTGTACTCTATGCGCAACCTTCATATATTTGATTTGTAGACTTACAATCTCCAGAGTGCTACGATATCACATCGCTCTTTTTTTTTTGGTGAATATCGAGGGCCCAAGCCAAATTAGAACCCACTTTCTGTATTCATCATTTTGATGAGCACTCTAAACTTATCAAATCTAGACTATTTATATCTGATTTTTAAACGGTCCAGATTTAAAGTTTTTAATTAATTATTTTTAATAAAAAATTATTTGTTGTAAAAATGATAGTCAAGAGATTATTTTTATTTTAGATTTTATACATATTAAAATAATTATTTTGAACAAATAAAAATAAAAAAGAAATTAAATTTGAACCATCCAAATAAGATATAAACGGTCCAGATTTGATGAGTTTAAGATGCTTGTCAAAATAATAAATAACAAAATTGGATCCAGCCAAACCAAGGCCCAGTTTCAGCCAAACCATACAAGTGGAGGAAAGTTAAGAATAGCTTGCAATAAAACTAATTTATTTTGTTATTATGATCACGGTACTTTTACCTATAGTGGCTGCGAGGCATGCAGTTTGGATACGCTCTAATTAATTAAGTAGATGATGGAGGGACTTACAACCCCCCCCCCCCAAAAAAAATATTCATCCATCGGATAACTTAAAATGCTTTTCATCCTCGTGCTCCTTATGCCGCTTTTAATTTGCGAAGACTTTGAGCCTCTTTGCTTAATTATTCGGTGCATATGTCTGTTGCAAATTTGCTGTGCAGTACGTAGCTCGCTTACCTTACCGGAATAATCTTAATTTCATTTGCTAATTTTTCATGCCTAAAATATCACTATAGGTCAAAAGACTGCATAAGCAAGAAAATGCAGAGATTTGAAGGAAGTTAAAAGTAGTTATGGTTTTAAAATTAAAAACCCAAAATAACAAAAACAAAATAAAGAAAGAAAGAAACAGATGAAATCATACAAATAGAAGAAGACAAGAACTCTACAGGTACGGTCTCTTTCTAAGTAAGGGTGACCACTGATCTGTTAACCTGACTGAAAGGCAGATATTGCTTATAAGCAGACCACACACATCAAGTAAACAGCAGCATGAGTTTTTCATGGGAATCAGTTTTAGAACTCATCATTCTAATTAGCACCTTGAGCTTATTAGATCTTGATCGTTCGTATCTTATTTGAATGGTCCGAATTTAATTTCTTTTTTACTTTTATTTTCTCAAAATAATTATTTTAATATTTATATAATTTAAAATAGAGATAATCTCTTAATTATTTTTTTAAAAAAATAGTTTTTTCTATTTAAAAATAATTAATTAAAGATTTTAAATCCGGACCCTTCAAAAAAGATATAGACAGTCTAAATTTGATGAGTTTAGGACACTCATCAAGATAATGAGTACTGAAACTGGTTCTATTTTTTATGTGTCCGTCTTACTTCACGTTCTCTCATCAGCTGAATGTTACGTTCCATCTACTTGAAAATGATTCAGCAAGCCCAGGAGCTCATTTCTCCATCAATCCTTTTTCCCTAAACTTGACAGCTAAAAGCTGCGCATGTTCTAGACTCCTCTGATCCTGAAATCCCATATTGTTTTTTGACTTTTTAACCTCTTTCAGTTAATATATTACTATGGAAATCAAATGCGGAATATGAATGATGTTTCTGAACCAGAAAATTCGTACTTACTGAGAAATCACCCACTGGACTCAAGATTACAAAAAGGAAGGGACTAAAAGAATGTCAAGTGATTTTTGAAATAAGAGAATGGTAGAAGATAGATAGAGCTGATCGATTCTTCCTTTGATTCAAGTTTGTTGGCGTTTTACTCATTTCCGATCGTTAGAGTCTGTTTTCTGGGGCCTAATTAACGTTGTGAGAGAGAGAATGACAAGGATAATTCATGAGCTGTATAAAATAAGGACAGACACCATGTGTACATTGCCTATAGCAGTACATTAAGAGTTTAATTACGAGGCTGTATATGAGTACGATGCTTCTTTTTTTTTTTTTTAATTTCTGGACCGAATGCATTGCTTTATGTTTGGTGCGGTGAGATTCAAGAGGAGGTTTTTGTGGCTCAAATTAAAGTGATGCCGACAAGCTTAGTGTCATTCAATAATGCTTTTTATTCTCGAGGGAAAGCACATGTTTTTCATGATTTGCAATATATTCCAATCATTTATTCAAAACTTACTATACATAACTTTAGTCGTTTCGTTCATCTTGGTACAGTATATTTAGTGTACGTAATATTAAAATTTACATATATATGAATTTTTGTGTGGATAGCACTAAATAAAGCCCCATAAACTTGAAGTCACACAGCCAAAAAAAATAATATTAGGGGACAATTTTTCGCACCATGAAGCAGATTTCCAACGCGGTGGTTGACCTGTTGAAGAGAAGAGGTATTCCGGTTGATTACTTGTTTCTGAAAGAGGAGGGAGAGAAAAAAGAAGAACTAGTGGAAGTTGTTCATTGGCGTATTGCTTTTTTGTGGAGTCTGATTAATTCATTGGGATGAAGCTCTCACTTTACACTTGTGTTCAGGCTGTTGGAGTTATCCAATAGCGAAAACTCAACATCTTTTAAATAATTTTTTTTAACATTGAGAAACTTTATATTTTTAGATTAAATTATTAATTCAAGTTTTGTAAGTGAAAAATCATATTAATTAACAGATTTTTGTTTGCCACAAGACAAAAAAATTATATATACATATATCGAACGGTTTTCGGAATTCAGGCGGTGCCAAATCTGACATTGCAAGCCATTAATTGTTTGGCCTAAGTATATGAGAGATCAATGTCCACTGATAAATAATTGTTGTTGGTATCTTAATAATAAAAATCAAAATCTAACCACAAGAACACAGGGGATCGATCTATCGGTGGATGGATTCTGAAGGCGTGGGTGGATAGGAAAGTTTATGCTTTCCCCGTCGAAAAGGGACGTCCGAACGTCATTCTATGAATTTTCTGTCTTTCTTTGGGCCGTCTACAATTACATGCATCTATCATACTACCCTCGATAATTCTTTTTTTAATGTTTTTATTTATAAATCGATATCATAAAATTTTTTTCCCCCAATAATACTATCTGACGGCCTCTAGACCCTAATTCCTTCGGTTTTCAAGCCATGGAGTATGCTTTCTTCTACCTCGTCTCCGCCTTGTGGTCTTATTCCAAGCTCTTGATAGCTGCTCTCTCACACTCACACTCATTAATAACACCATTAAACACCCTCACTTTACCCGTAAACGCCAAAAATACAAACTTCCCCCAGGTCCTAAACCATGGCCGATTGTTGGTAATTTACCTAAGATGCTTGCTAACAAGCCGGGCGTGCCCAAATGGATACACAAGCTCATGAAAAATTTAGACGCCGAAATTGCATGTTTTAAATTGGGAAACGTTTACGTTATCCCAGTGACTAGCCCTGCTATTGCGTGTGAGTTCTTGGAGAAAGAAGATGATGTTTTTGCATCAAGACCTATGAGCATGGCATCTGATCTCATATCAGCTGGTTATTTAACGACGGCACTTGGGCCATACGGAGAGCAATGGAAGAAGATGAAGAAAATGATAAGCAAGGACTTGCTTTCTCCCATGAAGCATCAATGGCTTCATGCCAAAAGAATGGAGGAAGCCAATAACCTCACGCACTATGTTTATAACCAATCCAAGAGTAAGAATGAGGATGGAGGTGGTTCTGTGAATGCGAGTGTTAGACATTGGGCCCACGTCCACCCTTGATGGGCCAGACTATTTGATCCAAGAGAAAAGAATCTCTTGGATCAAGAAAATCAATCACAAATCAGAAGCAATTAATGATTGACTAGGGAATATTCAATCAAGTATTCAGTACTTGATTAATTGGAGAGAAATCAATCAGACATTAATTGTCGATTATGGAATCAAAATATTATCCCACAATAAATGAGGGAGATTGTACCTTCCTGAAATATGGGCCACCCTAGCCCTATAAATAGGAGGTGTCTCCAACCATTCTCTTCACCCCACACCGTAGAGCTTTCCGGTGTTCTCTTCTCCTCTCTCTGGTGCATCTGCTGTGCCATTCTATAAAGACTCGAGTAGTCAAGATACTACGTGAGCTACCATCATCATGACCCAGAACCGACCCGGTATGTTCCCTTTCTCTATCCATTTTATTTCCTTTATTGGCATTAGAGCCTGCCTGATCCTATGGCTGTGCTTCTTTTGCACGTGTTAATTTTCCGCTGCCATTTTCTTTTTTCATATATGTGTTATATGCCCTTTTTTTTTAACATGTGCTCTATTCCCTTTTTTTAAATGCATTTTAAAAATGTTTTTTCCCTGTCCAAATGGAACCAAACCTGTTTGCTTTGTGATTCTGTTTCCCGAGTTGCTACGAGTTTTGCCTCTTACTTCTAGTTATTGCTTTCGCACTCCATCTTTGTTTTCTGCCCGTGGGAAAGCTCAAATTTTGAAACACTTTTTTTTTTAATAATGAAAGATTGAAACTTTCATAGCTTTTTGGGAAAATAAGTAAAGCTTTCTCACAAACGGATAAAAACAAGCTTTTACAATGTTTTTCTTAATCCGAAAACGTTGCCCATTGCTTCTGTGTTCACAGACTAAAATGTCCATGGAGGAGATTTTTGATTCTTTGAAATCACATCTTTCTGTGTGAACAAAGGGCACGATTGTGTAGTTCGTGACGAGACGATTCCAACGACACCAAGAACACGTCAAACAGACACCGAACAAGGGAGAAACAGAGGAGAGAAGGTGGCAGGTCATTGATGGGCCCGCTGAACCTCCAGCCAGGTCAGGCCAACTCGGTTGCAGAAAGAAGAGGACCCAGGGCCCCAAAACAGCATTGTTTTGGGACCCCCGGACACTGCGTTTCCCTAAGTGAAACGTAGCGCACTGGGTAGAGCTAGTAATCGGGCCCAGCCCGCCAATAAAGGCAGGCTCGGGTTGGCAATATGCCAGCCCGCACCGTTTTGAGCCCGCTCCGCCGCGGGTTGGCAGGCTGGCCTGCTTTTTTTTATTTTAATTTTTCATATAATTCCTAATATAGTTAAAATATTTTGACCCTCAAATTCCACATGAACAATTAAACATTGCTTCTTTCATATCATTGCATAAGTAATTAAACACTTTATATATTTGTGATTATGTGTGAAGTTATACGAAGATCATTGTCCATCTTTTATTTTTCATTTATTTGTTGTGTCACTATAAAAGCCTTTATAAAATTAAATAAACATGTGATACTTATACATTTATACATAAAATGTCTACTTAATTAATTTCGATAAGAAAACTAAATTACTTTGAATAAAAAAAACTAGTTAAATTAATTATTTATAAAAAGATATATTAGTTTTTAAAAATATATTCTTAAATTATAAATTAATCTTCACTTAATTTTATCATAACTCACTACTCAAATTCAAGATTCAAAGCCTAATTTTAACATTTCAAATTAAGCTCAACCTATATTAATAATAATAGTTTTTATTTTAAAAAAAAGAATATGTAGGCAGGCTGGCGAGCTAGCCCGCACCGCCACAAGCTGGCCCGTATCCGCATCGCCAGCCCGCATTACCACCTCTAGCACTGGGCCACCGGGCCCAGTAGTCTGTTTAAAAAAAAAAGTTTTTTTGGGTAGCCCAGTTTGACCACATTTTTTTATTGTAAAAAAAGGGTTCCTTTGAAAAAATATTTTTTTAAAAGAAAAAAAGGTGGGAGAGGTGGGTCCACATGCCTATGTGGCGCGTGGGACCCACCCATAAACCTAATGGTAACCTAAAACACCACTATGCTCATAATGACACGTGGAGTCTAACAGAGCACTGTCCTGAGCAAACAGAGGTCTAGATGGCGGTGCGTGGACGTCATGTGCCACCCCTATGAGTGGGCCTCTCTGGAATTTTCTAATTTTCATGAATTTTTTAAATCCTAGGATGTCTAGGTGTGCGTGAGGGTGCTTGGGATGTCCTTTTTGGGTACAATTTGATCCAAAAATTTCCTAAATTCATGAGTTTCATATTGATATGAATATTGGATATTTTTACAATTAATGTGTGTGTTTTTATTACATTTTTAATGTATTATGACCATTTTTTAGCCTCCCCCCCATTTTGATTATTTTTGTGAAAAATTCCCTAATTAAAAATTCAATTTAATCCTCTATAGGTAAGTCATGGCTAATCCTGATTCTGAGTTTTTCCCCTCTTATTTTCCGTTATCTGATAACGAATTCAACAATATGAAAAGTGGAGAAGCATAGAGCACCAATAAAAGGATGAAAGCCCCATCTGTTCAAGGCTCCAATATCCCCAAGGATATAGAAGGTGATAAGGAGGAGCCCTTACCTTTCAAGGCCACTGATGAAGAGGTGGACAGAGAAATCGACAAAGGATTGATGAAGAAAGTAGCGGAGAGGGATGCCTATGACTACGAATATGTGGGAGATCTGCATGATGCCCTACACCAATACACCACAAGTGTCACAAATCATAGCAATGCTATGTTTTATGTGGATATAATAACCCAATATCGTAAGGCGCTTGTCAGATGGTACCAATTTCAGCACAAACTTTTGGAAGGCTATCGTTACCAAGCATCTTGAAAACGTTCCCGTAAAACGTAGAGAAACTTTATTCAATTACGCTTTTGAGCTTTAAGTTGTACTTATGCTTGCTGAGTTTTTTAGGTTGTTGCGTTTGTTTTTGATAGTCAAGACAATGTGAACCTTGCTGCAACTATTTTGGGCGTTTTTATTTATTAATAATATTTTATTACTTTAATTGAGTTGGAGCTATTTTCGGATTATGAAATCCAAATGCTTGAACAAGTGGATAAGTTCGGATAAACCAACAATGAGAAGGTGAAAGGAGAACCAACATTAGTGAGATGGGAGCCAACCTAGTTGACTCTTGATTGCGAAATTGGCAATCCTTTCATCCGATTACTATTGGTCTTCCTTGAACATGATTTTTGTATACCATTGAATAAAGTGCATAATTGTCTATGTAACAATGATATGTCGCAAATGGGTACGAAGTCCATAATAGCTAAGCTGAACAAAGGCGACAAGCTGAACGGAGATAGCTACGGTATGTGGCACCGTAAAATCTCCTATGTCCTAGAGGAACAAGACGTCAAGAATGTCTTATCAACTATGCTGCAACAACCTGATGCTATAGCATCGCGAAGGGGCATATACCACTTGGAAATAAAAGAACAGTATCGCACGCTTGACCATGATGAGTGCCATGGAAAATGACGTTATGCGTGAATTCAAATATTGTGCGACTGCCCAGGCTATGTGGATAGCCTTGAAGGACAAGTTTGATGGCACTTCTGCCACTAAACTGAGAAGGCTTACCATCAAGTTTGACATGTATAAACTAAGGCCTAACACTCCTGTCAAGCAACACTTGAGGGACATGTTGACCATGATTCGAGAGCTAAAAGAGGTAGGGCATGCTTTTTCTGATGAGCAACAAGTACAGGCCGTCATAAGATCACTTCTAGCTAGTTGGGAGCACATGAAGGTCAACCTCACGCACAATAAAAGCATAGTGACCTTCACAGATGTGGCAAGCCACATCAAACTTAAGGATGAAAGACTGGAGGCTACGAAGTCCACCAACCAAGCATACTTAACTAAAGGAAAAAAGGGTTCATCCTCTAAACGTCAGAAGGGAAGAGGTCCCAACAAAAAGGCAAAAAGGGACCCAAATGCTCAGAAAGGCAAGAAAACCTTTCAAAAGGGTAGGAAGCCTGCCAAGAAGAAGCTTGACACGGCAAAGGTCAAGTGTTATACTTACCGCAAGAAGGGATACTTTGCCAAGGATTGCTCTGAGGAGAAGGTATTGAGTTCAAATCCTTCATATTTTTCATATGTTTCTAGTACTACTTTTATAGCAGAAGCTAATCCTGTATGGGTTATAAACTCAGGTGCAATAGACCACGTCAGTAGAGATCGTGGGAACTTTACAATTTTTTGTCGACTACCCACTAAGAGCAGATGGCTTTACGTTGGAAACAACACAAGGGTAGAAGTCAAAGGGATCAGCACCTGTAAGTTGACTTTGCAAGGAGGGTGAACCCTGGTCTTAGAGGATGTGCTCTATGCTCCAAATATCCGGCAGAATCTTGTATCTGTCATGTCTTTAATTAAGTTTTGTTTTGGTGTTCACTTTCATAATTATGTCATTGACATTAAACATAGGACCGAATTTATTAGATCTGGTTATGCTTTAGATGGATTTTTGGTTTTGGAAAATTTTAATAATAATTTCAATTCTAGTTCTTGCTATGCTGTTACTTCTGATACGAACTACGATGTATGGCACGCTAGACTTGGACATATTAGTCAAGAACACATGATCAAACTGGCAAAGGAGAGTTTGCTAGGAAATGTATCCAAGAAAGAAATGTCCCTACGTGAGCATTGCTTAGCTGGCAAAGCCATAAGGAAGCCTTTTGGAAAGGCATCCAGAGCAGAATATCCTATGTAGTTAGTATACTCTGATATTTGTAGACCTATAAGTGTGAGGACAAGGCACAGAGCTTGGTATTTTATTACCTTTATTGATGATTTCTCGCGATATGGCCACATCTATCTGATCTCAAACAAGTCAGAGGCCTTGGAATGTTTCAGAAAATACCTCAACCTTGTAGAAAATCAGTTGGATTACAAAGTCAAGGCCTTAAGGATTGACAGGGGTAGAGAGTATCTATCCGACCAGTTCAAAGCACTCTGTGACAACAAAGGGATAGTTAGGCAGCTAACTGTTCTTGGTACCCCATAGCAAAATGGGGTTGCCGAGAGAAGAAATAGGACCCTTCTCGACATGGTTAGGTTTATGATGGCTCAAGCAGAGCTACCAATCTCCTACTAGGGAAACACACTTTCAACTGCTACCTTTATACTTAACCATGAGCCCTTGAAGTCAGTCACTTCAATACCCTATGAGCTATGGACAGGACACAAACCAGACCTAAGTGTCTTGAGACCCTGGGGATGTGTTGTATATGTTCATGACTCCTCCCATAAGTTTGGGAAATTAGGACCAAGAGGCAAGAAGTGTGTTTTCATACGCTACTCAGAACATTCTAAGGGGTACGTCTTCATTGGTGAAAATGATGACGGCTCAGTGACTGAGATAATGTCAAGAGATGCCACATTCTTAGAAACAGGATTTCCTAGCAAAGGGAGCATTGATCGCACTATTTCTCTGTATGAGAATGATGATTAGGAGGAAGCAACCAATACTCCTCAGTCCACTGATTTGAGTGGGAGGTTTAAGGCACTTTCACCACCAGAAAATCTTACCCACACACAAGCGCAGGAAGAGAATCCTACACAAGAAATCCCACTTTAGAGAATTAAAAAGGACAAGACCCCCTAAAGATGTTTCTCAGTCGAGGGGGCAACTCTCATTGTCAGTCCTAAAGATGACAAGGAAGATTCCAAAAGTGTTCATGAGGCATTGATAGGACTAGCTAAGGAAAAATGGCAGAGTGCCATGCAGGAGAAAATGGATTCAACAAAAGGCTATTGGGAACAAGTGGGTTCTCAAATACAAAAGAAAGACAGATGGGTCAATCGATAAACCCAAAACATGCTTGGTGGCAAAGGGGTATACACAACAGGAAGGGGTTGATTACGAAGATACCTTTTATCCCGTGGTACGTTTTAACTCAATCAGAATGATCTTGGCTTTAGTTTGCAAGTTTGGACTTGGAACTACATCAAATGGATGTGAAAACTGCTTTTCTGAACGGGGAACTAGATGAAGAAATATACATGAAGCAACCAGAAGGCTTCATGAAAAAAGGTAAAGAGGAGAAAGTTTGTAAGCTCCTAAGGTCTATTTATGGGCTGAAACAATCATCTAGACAGTGGTACCTAAAGTTCCACAAAGCAATAACCTCGTTCAACTTTAAATTGATCGAAGGAGATCACTGTGTATACATAAAGCGGTCAGGAAGAGACTTTGTTATCTTATCCCTGTATGTCGATGACATACCACTAGCTGGATCAAGTTTGAAAGCAGTTAAAGTAATCAAAGATTGGCTATCTTTGAATTTTGAAATAAAAGACATAAGTGAGACAGAATATATCTTGGGAGTTAAGATAAAAAGGGATCGTTCAAGAAAGTTATTGTCTTTGTCTCAAAAGATATACATAACAAAAGTCCTTGAACAGTTCAATATGAGAGATTGCAAACCCATGGATACCCCTATTATTAAGGGACACAACCTAACTGAGGATATGTACCATACAAAAGAATTTGATATAGAGAGCATGAAGCGAGTCCCATACTCAAGTACAGTTAGTAGTTTAATGTACGCGATGTTGTGTACAAGATCGAACATATGTTTTGCAGTTGGACTTATGAGCTGTTTCCAATCAAACCCGGGCATGAAACACTGGGAAGCTGTAAAGAGAATCATGAGGCACCTAAAGGTAGGGCTGTATAAAGACTGGGTTGGACCGAGTTACATCCTAGTCTGAAGTCTGGTCTGAAAAATGACCGGCTTGAAAATTTTGGTCTGAAGACCAGTCCAGTCTGGTTAGACCCGGGACCAAGACCGGGTTGGACTTGGTCCACCGGGTTACCAAACTAGTCTAGGTTGCTTTTCTATTTATATTTTTTTTAAAAAAATTCGCTACATATTTTTAGCTACAAAAATAATACATACTGGAACTGAAATAAATTACCCACATTGAAAAGAAACTAAAAAATATAAGAAAGGTAGGAGATGTTAATGCGAACTTGAAGATCATAGTCGTGGCAATGGAAGATGCGAACTGGTAGATAGCAATAATAGAAGATGCAAACTAAAGATGGTTTTTGTTGGTAAGCTAAGGCATAAACTAATGCCAGAAGAATTTGATGGTGTTCATCAGAGACGGTAGATGGGTTCGTTCACTGACATTATTGGGTCAACCTACGCTTGGAAGGATTCTCCGATGCTGATTGGGCTGGAGATCTCGAAGAGCGCCACTCTACTTTAGGATATGCATTCCTCTTAAGTAGTGAAGCAATTTCCTGGAGAAGCAAGAAACAGACATGTGTGTCTCTATCTTCCATGGAAGCAGAATATGTGGTGTGTTCTGCTACTGTTCAAGAAGCTGTGTGGCTCAAAAGGTTCTTGGTGCGATTGCCAGTAAACAACACGAATAAGGGACTAGTTCTCATACATTGTGATAGCCAAGCGGCAATAACTTATACTAAGGATCTAAAATATCACAGTAGGACCAAACACAGACATTAAGTATCATTTTGTAAGAGACAGGATTGCTAAAAAGCAGGTCATTGTTCAGTACCTTTCCACTCAAAAGATGTTAGTTGATCCCCTTACAAAGCCCATAGCAAGAGACCCTTTTATTAAACATGTAAAGGCTATGGGCAAGCGTAGAACTTGATATATTGAATTTTTCCTTTAATTCAATAAAGTGATGCACTTCCTTTTTCTTTTCAAATTATTCAATGGTATGCAAAACTTGTAGTGTCGTACAGGATAAGGTTGACTCTCTCACACGAGCAACTGTTTTCAAGTGTTCATGAGGAACACAGAAGATGAGACATTGCATGATCTCCAGCCATGAAGCAAGAGCCATGGAATGGTTAAGAAGTATCACCACACACATGTTGCCTCAAGTGAGCTTCAGATGAGATCTATGCATCAAATAGGTCGAATCATGAACATTCGCATAGTTTATGGACCCTATAGCCAGATAAAGAACTCATCTTGAAAGACGTCGTCATATGTCAAGTGAAGAGTTCTGGTTTTAGGTACTAAGTATGCCTAGAACTAAAGTCTACACGATGTTAATAAAGAAAAATGACACACGCTCTTAACAGATTAAGATGAACATCGTGACATGTAATTCATACTTCATGTGCTTCTATCAACTGCAACTGGGATGCGAGCCGGAAGATCCCTTGTCCCACTTTAGTGTGAGTCCCTAAAAGGAACAAACCTTTCATGATGCCCTTAAGACTTAGACAGTGTTATGAAGGGATAACCTAGTGCCTGGTACCTTGGCTTGCACCCTATGATCATAAGAGATCCAGTCTAATGGGCCAAATACCAGGAAAGGGATGAAGTTATACCTGAATGACTAGTCAGAAGGAAGATTAATCTTGAATTACAAAATTATGCTAGTATCTGTGACATGTCCCTTGTGAGCATATTGAGTAGCTCACAAGTGTGGATGCTATGCATATAAGCAGACGATCTGAGTTAGATAAACTTGACTCGAGAAGGATTAGACATGCCATGAGAAAAGTGTAAGGGTAAATCTGGAGCATTTGAGGCAACATGCAAACACATCTGTGATGTCCTTGTACACTAGCTCTGCCTTAAGAGTTTCTAGTGAACAAGCATCCAAAGCAGAAGACATTGTGCCCACACGGTCACGGCAGAGCACCAAGTATAAAATGAGAAAGGAGAATCGCACAATGGACGACCCATCAAGTGCGAGTGGGAGATGTTAGATATTGAGCCCAACTCCGCCCTTAATGGGCCGAATGGCTTGATCGAAAAGAAAAGAATCTCTTGGATCAAGAAAATCAATCACAAATCAGAAGCAATTAATGATTGATTAGGGATTATTCAATCAAGTATTTAGTACTTGATTGATTAGAGAGAAATCAATCAGACATTAATTGTCGATTATGGAATCATAATATTATCCCACAATAAATAAGGGAGATTGCACCTTCCTGAAATATGGGCCACCCTGACCCTATAAATAGGAGGTGCCTCCAACTATTCTCTTCACCCCACACCGTCGAGCTTTCCGGTGTTCTCTTCTCCTCTCTCTGGTGCATCTGCTGTGCTATTCTATAAAGACTCTAGTAGTCAAGATACTGCGTGAGCTACCAGCATCACGACTCAAAACCGACCCAGTACATTACCTTTCCCTATCTATTTTATTTCCTTCAATAGTAGCTGCTCAGCATTTCCGCGGGAATGTGATCAAAAGAATAATCTTCAATAGAAGGTAACTAATACTTTGAATAGTTTGTAATCAATATATGATGCGATATAATAAGATGGTACCTTCAAATGCTTGTTAATTTTAGGTACTTGGGAAATGGTGGTGGGGATGGAAGGCCTGGTTTGGAGGACGTAAAGCATGTGGATGCACTGTTGACATTGCTTAATCACTTGTACGGCTTCTGTGTTTCTGACTTTGTGCCAAGCTTGAGAAGACTTGACTGTGTGACATGTTTTTCATCATAATGGACATAAATTAGCAAACTAATGAATAAACTAAGGGACAGTCTACCCAATTATTGCTCTCGATATGTAGATATGCTCACATTTGACACATGCAAAGCAGTAGGGGTGTGCATGAAGCCCAAATGCCCGCTAAGCCCGCCCAAGCCCGAAGAAAAATTGCTCTGCCCAACCCAAAAAAAAGAAGCCCGAAAAAGAATGGGCATCTTTGGGCTGGTCATTTCATGGGCAGGGCTGGGCATCGGGCAAGATATGCTGCCCTGCCCATTTGGCCCTGCCCAGATTATATTTATATATATTATAATTTATAAAATCATATTAATATATTACATTTCTTTACCCAAAAAAAAGTTATTCCGTCCTCTTTGCAATTTAATTTATTATTGTTACATGTCTGTTAGTTTTCCATCTTAGGGGTCTAATTTTTCTAAAAAAGCAATAGTATCTTGCTTTTAACTTGTTCTTCATGAGCTTTATTGAGTACATCCTATGAAATGTAATTTTCAGTTATGGATGAAAGTTTTTTTACATGTGATATCGGCAGGCCATCACTATTTGGGCAACGAAGCCCGCCCTGCCCAGCCCACCCATGCCCAGCCCAAAATGGTTAGGGCTTCTATGGGCAGGGCCGGGCAGCGGGCTGCAAAATGCAGCCCGTTCATATTTTGGGCCGGGCATTGGGCAGGGGTCCTGCCCTGCCCAGCCCTGCCCATGTGCACCCCTACAAAGCAGATAAGGCCACTAAGAGGACGGCAGGTGACAGTGAACTTGGCCCCCTGATATGTTCCCATCAAAGGGAAGAGTCATGAATTTTTCTTTCGTTCCTCTTTGGTGATCCCTTTGATTTAAAGCCAATCGCAAGAGTCCGATTTTCTGGATAACGAAACGGACCCCACCTTACCTCGTAACTTTTTTGGAGCACCTCGAATTGTTTCTGATGTTCATACATAGACTGGATTGACCCAAGGATCGTTTCAGCTTATTATCTTACCATTTCATATACAGTCGCAGAACATAAAGTAATTAATCATGAGGGTGGCTAGAAATATTATTAATTATTTTATTATCAGCAAGCCAATTTTAAGGTTATCTTCAACTTTCTTGAATAATTAAAATGTTTTACTCTTTAAACTAGCAAGAGTCTTTGTGTGTTTATTTAATTTAAAAACGTACTTCAGTCTGCACCTTACAACACAACATTTATAAGCTTAACTACACATGGCGATAAATTAATGTCCAAGGAGATATAAATTACTTGGATATTATTTCCTTACCTAACCCACTTATATATATATAGATATATGTAGATGTCCAAGTTGCCGCTGTGTGGATACCAAAGTAGAAGTGAATACGTAAACTGAAAAACTCTTCATTAATTATCTGCAAGAACTGAATGAGACATCCTTTGAGATCTTAACCAAAACACATTTGGCAGGACATGATGATGGCATCGGTGGACAACCCATCAAATGCAGTGGAATGGGCACTCGCAGAAATGATAAACCAACCAGAGTTTCTTGAAAAAGCCACTCTAGAACTTGACCAAGTGGTAGGAACACATAGGCTTGTTCAGGAATCAGACATCCCAAAATTCAGCTATAACAAAGCTTGCTTAAGAGAAGCCTTTCGCCTTCATCCAATTTCCCCTTTCAATGCCCCACATGTCTCTATGCATGACACAGTGGTTTCCAGCTACTTCATCCCAAAGAGCAGCCACGTGTTAATGAGCAGACAAGGGTTAGGGCGAAACCCTAAGGTGTGGAAGGACGACCCTCCTAAGTTCAAACCAGAATGTCACCTCATGGACGAGGGGTCCGATGTGTTCTTAAGTGAGCCAAATTTAAGGTTCATAAGCTTCACTACAGGAAAGCGAGTGTGTCCAGCAGTGGTGCTTGGGACCACTATCACTGTGATGATGTTTGCTAGGTTGGTCCATGGCTTCACCTGGAGTGCTCCACCAGATCAACTGATTGAGCTTGTTGAGTCTGAGACTGATCTTTTCCTTGCTAAGCCACTTGTAGCCATTGCACGCCCGAGGTTGCCAGAAGAGGTTTACCTCTTGAATTAATTAATATTTTAATTGTTCTTATCGTTTGCGCAAATATCTGAGGCTAGGTATCAATTAATCGATAATCAATATCTGAAGCCGGTTTTTTTTTGGGGGGGGGGGGGAAGAGTCTAAGACTGTGTATGAAATAAATAAATAAATAACCCGAGGCTTTATTGCGAGAACAACATGCTTTTCTAAGATGTCTGCAATGTCCGTTCATTTCGCTCTACCTAAATTTTACCATTAACTCTTAACAGTCATCCGTTTTGGATAACTTTTAGAAAAATCCCAAAGAAATGACTATTAAATTTTAAAATTTTAAATCAGTATTAGTCACTATACCAAATGATTACATTCGAAAAACAAATGATAATATATTTTTATAGTAATTCCTGATTTAAAATTTTAAAATTCAATCGTATTTTTTTCCCATAATTTCTCCCCTAACATCTCAATTCTCACTGAAAAACGCCACCAGTGACTCACTGTAGCATCAACGCGTGTAGAAAATCAAAGCCCTAATTGTCACGTGATTGCGTACTTCTCTACTCTTTCTGTTTTATTTCCCCTTTTATATACTTTTAAGTGAATTTTGTGTTATTTATGGATTTGGAACACCCGTGAATAAAGTAAAGGACAGATTAATTAATGTGCACGGATAGCTCACAGTTTCAAAACACAAGGCAGGCAAGCGTACTGAAAGGTGACGACGAACTTTAACCATAATAATATCTTTCATCCAGAAAAAGGTCATTCGTTTTTCTTGGTTGCTATTAGATCGTCTCATCGATTTAATGCCCAACGTAGAAGTCCCAAATGGAACCGAGGATCGTTTCAGCTCATCGTTTTGCCATTTCAAGTGAAGTCAGAAGATAAAATGATCATTCCAGCAATTAAAAGTTGTTATTTTATTATTATATAAACAAGCCAAAGTTAAAATTATCTTCGGCTTTCATAGATAAACTGGTTTGCTCTTTAAACTAACGAAGGCTTCTTTGTGTTTCGAAATATATAACTAAGTGCTGAACATTACCAGAGACGATTTAAGCTGACATGGAATATATTGGCTCATATGCACTAATACAGGTCTGAAGCTCACCTCTCCGTGGATTATCGTCCTTTTCTTGCGTCTCATTATCGTTTGATCTTATAACGTGAAGGGTTATAAAGGCTATCCAGTTTGTACGCTTTCAAAATAATAATAATAATAACAACAAGTGTCTAAGAGTTAGACCTAGACAAAGTAAAATATTTCCTATCATTCAGATCTATCTGCACAGCATTGGATTCTCCTACTTCAAGCTGTCTTCTATTCATGCTCCCTTCTTTCTCCACATGACTTGTGTCTCCCCTAGATGATCCATTCATATCTGACGCTTCGCTATGATCCATCTGGTGGCTAACATCTGCTTCGCGTTCCGATTGGCGTTTCTTCTTACGCAGCATAAGGGTTTTGAACCTCCTTTTCGCAGTCATGCACACATTGCAAGTACAGTCGGCAGGATGTCTTCCCTTTCCACTTGGTGGCTGAATGCAGACAATGCAGGTGCAGCCAGGACGATGTCTAGAATGTTTGGTGGTGGGTCCACCTGATGACTAGAAGGATCCCCGAGACCATCTCCCAACACTGCCACATTAGCAAGAGCATCAAGGCCTGAAGGTTCAAATTCTTGGGGTGACTTATTATTTTCTGTAAATCTTCGCCTTTTAAAGTCTGGCAAAAATTCAGGGTAGACAGAAAAATTCAGGAATTGTTACACTAAATCTTTAAGGATAAAAGGCCAAAAAAATGAAATCCAATTAACAGGAACATTGGAAACAAATCGTGATAACCGCATTGGATGACTCATTTTGAAAGTTACACTGTAATGTTAATGAAGGTTTCTGCCCCAAAGGTCATAAAATTGTGGGAAAAAAGAAAAAGGAAAATATCTTTCGATTTTCCACTTCCAGACTTTCAATACGCAGAAAACTATAAAATTGTGAAGATGCCTTATTACCCCTTCGAGGAAAATCAGCTACCCCGCTACAATCGTGCTCAAGAAAGCAGGGATCTTTATTACCCCCTCCATTGGAAAAATACTCAAATTCAACAACAAATGAAGATTCAGATGTTGAGACAGTTGTTAGCCTTCACGATGACAGGATCGGTTTGGATGTTTCATACATGTCTTGTCGGGCGATACTTAATCAAATCAAGGAATTCCCGGTTTGTTGCGCATAGATGATTAACCGATAGATATATTATCATCATTAGCCTCATTTTGCAATGATTTTTTTCGGGGTAAAATAACGTTATTTAATCTTCTAACTTCGATAAAGCCTCTGTTTTTAGCCTTTTAAACCAGAATGGGGGCTTCTCTGCCTCTGAAATGAAGATGGAGAGGCTAAAAGCAGATTGCAAGAGATCTGCCCAGATGGTTGACCGATTTAAGAAAATGTATGAAGATTTGCAAGAATTCTACGAAGATGACTTCTTGAAAAGTGGTCAAACAAAAACTTCAGATCAAACTGGCAACTAGGTCGCTTTATTTTCTTGCTTGCTCTGCTCAAATTTACCCTTCGAGTGTAGAAATTCAAAGGCTTCGGTGATTTATCTGGCGAGTTATTATTGTCAATTTTGCTACCTCTCGGTACTTCTAAGTTCTGATATGCTGCCACGCAACACAAAGCCTTTTTATACATGTTTTTTGTACAGGCAATTAAATGCTACATGTAAACGGTGAAATGTTCGTAGTTTATAGGAAATACTCCTCCAGTCCTTAATATATGACCCAATTATTAAATTAGCTTGGTCCTAAATATAAGACTCATTTCTTATATTTATTAATTTTCTCTAAATTACCCTTATGGATACTCCCTCAACCATAATCAAGTAGAAAAAAAAGATGAGGTATTAAGAAAGATGATTATGGTGTTTTAGGAAAAACGTGTCATATTTCTTATAATTAACTAACTTACCTAACTTTTTTAATCTAATCAAATTAGTTAAATGGGTCTTCTATTAAGGACCGGAGGAGTACTTCAATACTTGACTGAGCTTGTGGCAAATTGGAAGGGAAAACAAAAGGAATGGGATGACAAGTTTTTGAACTACTTGAAGGAAGTACCCTCTGGAGCATATTTTTCTGCCTATTTTCATAACGGTACTGATCTAAATGGTAATTATTTATGTTGGTCGCCATAGTTGCAAAACTGAATTTATTTTTTATTGCGAAATTGACGATTAATTCAATGAATTAGTTTGTTCGATCCTGTAAAATTAATTTGTTCGACATGATTGAATCACTATTGTCCGACGTCCGTCTCATTGCATCAATGATGGAGCTAATTTCTTAAGAAACAATTAAAGCTTAACAAAATAAATATGGGTGAAGGGGTAAATTTACCTATCATAATATCAGAAAGAAGTATCAGGCACTGTAATAAAATGTTGTGAGCAAAAATATCCATGATGATTCAAAAAAGGCTCTAAAATGTCTGTTAAACTAAGTAATGTTGACCGTTTAGAAAAAACTTTTTGACTAAAAATGGTGAGGTGGAGGCAAATATGACAAAATAATGTCTGAGTTGGACAAAAAATTAAACAACTGTAAGAATTCTTCCTCCCCTCAATGCTCGTCGTCTTTCTCACCATCAGAGCATCCGTCGTCATCAACCCTCTTTCATTTTGTCCTCCTCCTTCCACCAGAAACATTAGTCAGATCAAGCAAACCCAAAAAATTATACACAATCTTAAAGATCGCAAATCACAAGTAATCAAATATTTAAAATGATGAGAAGTAGAAGAAGATCAGAAACATGAAATCAGAACAAAAAACAGAATTAGAAACTATGAAGAACCATGGAAATCATCATCATCATTGAGTATTATTACTCGACCAATTTCATCAGTGAAAAACGAGGTTCAACTTGAAAAACCATGAGAGTAAATCATCAACATCAACACAATATAATCCAATCCATAAATAATCATTCTCAATAATATTAAACACGCATAACTAATCTTTCAAAGACCCACAACTATCATGAGAACGAAACAAAATCAAAGAATCATATATGAGAAATCAAAGACGGTTCGATGCCATACAAGAGGAAGAAGAATGATGAGATCTGTGAAATGATTTGCAGAAGTCGAAGACCTGTATCTAAGAAATCATGGGTTTCAGGCTATTCGATCAAACAGACAATCTCGTCGTGAGAGAGAATGCAGCGGAAAGTGGCGGTGCTAGTGGTGAGCTGGCAAATAAAAAATGTAAGGGAGAGAGAAAGAAAGAAGGAACCTGTGACAATCTTCACGGGTGAGCTGGGAAATGTCATCCAAGGTGAGATGTTTGAGGGGTTTGTCGAGATTGCAGCGGAAGATAGCGGTGCCGGCGTTTATGACTTCCAGATTCCGGCGGGTGTGTCTCTGGCTGGCTTTCAGGGGTGAGTATTCGGTTTTTCAGTTCAGTTATTAGTGATAACCGAAGTAATCGAATAACCGAACAAAACAAATTTTAGACACCGAACCGAAATCAATAACCGAACTAACCGAAACCGAATTAACCGAAATATTTTGGTTCGATTAACTGATTAACCGAAATATATAAATATGAAAGTGATTTTAAATTAATAATAACAATAAAATACAATTACAACTATTAATTAATAAATATTTCATCATTTAATATGATTTATTACAATAATATTTATTATAACCATATTTATTGAATATAAATATATTTAAAGAGTTCACATAAACTCACATATATATTTATTATAATAATATTTATTGAATATAAATATATAATATATTTATTTCGGTTTTTCGGTTATAACCAAATTCTTTTTCTACTAACGGAAATCGAATTATTACAAAAATAAAAACAAAATATATAACCGAAAACTAAAATAACCGAACTGAAAAATCGAAATTAAATTCGATTCGGTTTGATTTTCAGCTCACCTCTCAAGAATCTCCTAAACCACCTGACCCAATCTGTGCTGGTAGAGACACTCTTGAGAAGAAGCATAGAAGAGGTAAGCTCTCCAAATCTTATCCGGTTTGGAGGTTGTTCCGCGTTTGCACAGTTCAAGGCTTCCTCCCTGTAAGAAAGAAGACAGGAGAAGGAACCGCAAATGGACAGAATCCGGTCTTAGCAGCAAAGAACGTGGATGCGGTTCGGTTTTGCTCATTCATACTGATTTCAGGGAAAAAAAAACGAAGAAAAGAGGTAAGGAGAGAGAAAAATGAAAAGAGAAGGGAAGGATGTGTGACAACGTGTGAGGGGACCAGAAATGAGTAATGGGAGAGAGAGGGTTAGGCCCACAATATTGGTACATCCTAAGCTGCCACGTGGTGCTTTGATAGAGATAGGATAAGCGGGAGAGATTGAGTTGACCAAGTGGGAGATTACATGACAAACTATTTGATAGGTGTAAGTTTGGTGGGACCCACATGAAAAAAATGACGGGCATTACGGACACGTAACGGGAATGATATTTTTGTCCTCAGAAAGTTTATGGTATTTTTGCTCTCAACATTTTATTACGATGTCTGATACTTTTTTTTCGATATTAAAATAGATAAATTTGTCCTTTCACCCAATAAATATTTCCATCTTATAATTTTGCAATAAATCTGAATGCGAAAAAAGGGTTTTATTTCCTAAGCTAATCCAAATTGGAAAATTCTCATTTCCGAAGAAATATCCACTACGAGCTCGGCATATAAGATTTTTTTTTCCCTGTATTTGAGTAAAAAATAACTAATGAAACAAATAATAGTAGAAGAAAATAACCAATAAGCTGGTGCTTGAGATAGTAAACAGTCTCCCACAAAAAAGAGAGTACAAATTTGAATTCTAAAAAACCCAATTATTAGAAGAGCTTGAATATTAACACTCTCGGTCTGATAAAAATTAATCTCAAGCTCAAAATAACTTAAAGATATTTTGAGTTATTAAAAAAAAGCCAAAGAAAATGTCTTGCCTATAAGATAAAATAATATCCGGGGAGGATGACATTTTCAAAGGACCTACTAGAGAAGGCATTTGATTTTCTTATATTTAGGACCAGAGGTAGTATAAATTATAAAAAATAACAAATAAATTCCAAATAATGCATTGAAAAGAAGAGTGTTATTGAAAACGTGAAAAAAAATTGTCAGACAAGAGACGTGTGGAGGAGGGGACAGGGGCAATCAGCATCCTTAAACTTGGATCTTTAGGTGCAAATCTTAAAAGATTGGTTATAAACAGTTGTGAATTATGGATGTTTTGTTTTGTATAACCCCAGAAGTTAATTGTAAATATCAGAATTTCTATTGCAAATGGCAAGTTCAATTACGAAAAGCTTTTGTGGGTCATCACTGATTTGTTAGCTTTTAAGATTTAGAACCAAACTTTTAGGATTTGCGGCTAACAGTCGCAATCCACATAAGGGTGCTGTTCTTTTTTTTTTTTTAATTTATATAAACCATGATGAAACATGTTGCCATCAAACGATTTAACAATGCTCTTTCTTTTTACTCATCATGTTGCAGTCCCCATTTGTAAAACATGAACTTATTAAGAATTTATAATCAAATAATTTAGGGATAAGATCAATCCCCGCACCTTTAACACGTTAATGTAAAAACATACTACTTAAATTATCTTTTGCAAAGGTGGGCACATTACGGAGGGCCTCTCAAATCTTGCATTAGTTAAAACTGTTGAGAATGATATTTATTTTAATTTGTTCTTTTATGACTATCTTATAATTTAATCGAGAATAATTTTTATTTTTTTTTTATAAAATTAGATTCTCTTTCATTATATGATTTGAAAACATGGAAGGAAGAAAAAAGATACATGACCATGTGTGATTAAAGGACTTGATATAACAAACACACAAAAATTGATATAAGTATTGTTTTATATATAATTGACAACGCATGTCATGAAATAATGTTAAGACCACATTGATTAATTTATAAATATTTTTTATAAGCAATTTTTAACATGTGTTGTAATCGTAATAACTAAGCTCAAGAGTTAAGGTATAAATTTGTTTTAAAAGTTTTTACTCATAAGCACTGGGTACTCAGAAATTTTTTTAGATATAAATTTACCCAAAAAATTTAAAATTGTAACAATATTGCTTGCTACTATTAAAAATATTAATGATAAATGTTACTATTTTAATGGTCAATATTAGTTTTTAATTGTAGAAAACAATATTATCAGGATTTCAAACTTTCGGGATAATTTGCAGACAAAAAAATCATGTGCCCAATATTTTTAATTAAAAAATTTTGAGACAAATTTTCCTCTAACCTAAAGAAAACGGTATGATATTACTCCTCCGGTCCTTAATATAGGACCCAATTTTTGTGTTGGTTTTGGTCCTAAATATAAGACCCCTTTCTCATATTTATCAATTTTTTCTAAAATACCCTTATGTATACTCTCTCAACCATAATTAAGTAGAAGAGGGAGAAGGGGTATTAAGAAAGATGATTATGGTGTTTTAGGAAAAATGTGACACTTTTCCTATAATTAACTAACTTACCTAACTTCCTTAATTTAATCAAATTAGTTAAATGGGTCTTATATTAAGGACCGGAGGAGTATATTCTGATAACACAAGGAACATATTTTACAAGGCTGTACAAAAGTGAAACATGTGAGAAAAATGTCATGCACGGCTTTTTGATCGATGCATTTGTGGAGATAAATTGAGAGGACCCCAGTAAAATCTCGTTTCCACTTCACGTCTCTTTCCTTATCCCTTTCACTTAATTTGTTAATTTGTGTAGTCCATATTAACTATCACCAGTTTAAAATTTAATATTTTATTCAAAAATGATTGAAATATTAAAATTTAATATGATTTTTACACAATAAAAAATATTAAAAAACAATTTTGAGCCACATATACTTTTTCTTAATTTTTACTTAGGTACCTACTTTTTTTTTTTATTTTAATTAAATACTACCTCGAGTTTTTAATTAAAAAAAATTAGTTAAGTTGATTAATTGTAACAAATATTTGTAAACGTTTCCATATTATCATCTTTAATCATGTGAATTGAAATCATCCCTCTATAAGAATTCCTTATAGTTAATAGAAATATTTTAGGAAAAATATTATAAATTTGAGAGACAAAATAGATTAAGATTTTATATTTAAGATCAAATCTAATTTTCAACAAACTTTTATATTAAGAATGAAAAAGTAGTACTTTAATTTTGTTTTATTATCACTGTTAACACTTATAATTTTGCTCTGTTAGTTTTGTTAATCTTTGCCTTTGTGCCAGAGCGAATGGTACAGCCAAAACAAGATTAAGGCATTTAATTTTGGAGCCATTCGTACAAACACCGCGTCCTCTTCTAATTTTCCTGCGACGAAGACCCGAAGTCATGAGTAATGCGCGACAGTTGCGCGCCGAGTCGTCGATTTTTTTTTAATTACGAGTATTAAATATATAAAATGAAACTATTTGATTGCCCATTTCATTCAAATGTTTCGCGTTTAAAATACAGAATGAACATCAATTACTACCTCCGGTTTTTAATATAAAACCTCGTTTGATTTTTATTTTAATCCTAATTATAGGACCCCAATCCACTTTGTCTCTCATATTTATGCATTCTTTTCCAAGATAGTTCCTTTAATAATGGTAGTTCTAACCAATAAACTTGATTAGCAAGGATATTTTAGGAAAGGCAATACCTTTTTATTACAAATAACTAACTTAACTTATTTCCTTAATCTCCTCAAATTAGTTAATTAGCTCTTATAATTAAGATCGAAGGTAGTATTATATATAATCTCTTTTTCTTGCCAACTACTACCTCCGATTCTTAAGATAAGACCTCATTTAATTTTTATTTTGATCATAAATATAAGACCCCAATCAATTTTGTCTTCCATATTTATTCTTTTTTTTTCAAAGTAGTCCTTCTAACAATGGTAGTTCTAGCCAATACACTTGATTAGCAAGGATATTTTAGAAAAGACAATACATATTTATTATAAACAACTAACTTAACTTATTTTCTTAATCTCCTTAAATTAGTCAACTAGCTCTTATAATTAGGACCGGCAGTAGTATTATATATAATCTCATAAATGCACAATTCTCGGAATGACATATATTAGTTAAGCAATTTTTTTAAATCTTTCAAATTAACCTAATTGCAAACATTAACATTTTTCATATTAGTGGTTAAAGTTCGTTTCAGATGTAGACGGTGGTCAAGTTCATTGGGCGTTGCATCCAGAAGTTAAAAAAAAAAAAAAATACTGATGATAACTCTCCCTAGTCAATTATTATTGTGATTTATTTCCTCACTCACATTTACAGTCTTTATTTTCGGTCACTTCATACTTAACATCACGGCGATGATATTTTTAA